TTTGAACAAGTGATTCTTAATTATGTGATATACTTTGTTCAGCATTCTTTGATTTCAATTGTCATTTATTTACTTTAATAAAAATCCTTATTTTTATTAAAAATTTAAATCCTTGTTAAATATTGACTAATAATTAAATGTAACTTAATTATTTCTTTGTTATTATTTATGTTCAGCAATTTACATATATTGCTGTTGAATTAGCAAGCATAAACAATTATTAAAAATGCAAATTAATTATATGAATATTAATTACGTGAAAATTTTATTGTCATATGTATAAAATTTTCACTCATAAATTCAAAATATAAATATTATGTAAATTAAGCTCTTTTACAAAATCATTATTATCTTTTGTAAAAAAAATCTCTCTCAAAAAAAAATAAATTCAATCTTTTTTTTTATTTTATTTTTTTATCTTTATCTTTTTCAAAAGAAATATTTCTCAAAGAAAAATTCCAATAATTTTTTTTTTTTTTTTTTTTTTTTAGTTAGCACAACTAACTACGTATTCTCCACATAACTAGTCCTTTTATAGCCAAAAATGTTAATGAAGCCTTTTATTAACCACTGCTCTATCTTTTGACCATTTAAATTTATCTTTTAAAAAATAAATATAATTTTTTAATTTACTTAAAATTTACAATAAGAAAACAAAAAAAATTAACAACTCTTTTTTTTTTTTGTCTAGAACTAGCATAGTTATTTATTAATTGCCTGTTTAATTACTTTGCTAGTAATGAACAAGGAAATCAATGAAGATAATATAGATCGAACTCAATTTAATTCTTATTTAATTAAATTTTAAATTTTTAAAATCTTTTAACCCAAGTGAAATGTACTTTCTAACATAATTTTCACATATATCCCATTTCCCAGAAGAAAAAATATGTAAAATTTTTTAAGATTGCCATTTTTATTAAAAAAAACTATATTATCATAATATATTATTTTTTTTAATTCAGGGTCATATACCAAAAAAAATAGGTAATGTATCTTTTTTTTTTTTTTAAAATTGTAGATATACATGCAAAAAAAATAAAAATTATTATTTATTAAAAAAATTTTTTTAAGTTTACAAGCTTTTAAGTAACTATTTTAGAACATACACTTATGAATGCACATTATTTCCGAGATTTAGCATGCACAAAACAAAATGTTTTCATTCTATTTATTAATCTAAATATTATACAAAAGATGTCTATAATATTATTTATAAATCATATGGCTAATTATTTATTTTCTATTAGCTCTTACTTTTTATTCTCAAAGATGTTAATAATACCTTTTATTAATCAGGTAAAAAACAAATGAATAAAGAACTATTAAAATGGTTTTTCCTATTTTTGTTTATTGAGAAATATATTTTGTTTTATAAGAGTAAATGTTTTATAATACAATGTACAACATGAAATAGTATATTTATATAATATTCTTAATTATTTAAATAAAAATATTTTAACTTAATGTTTTCGTCATTATTTACTAGATGAAAAAAACTATATTAACCTATTTTTATATTATATTTTATATATCATATATTAATATAACATTGAACTTTGTGATATAGATAAAGATTTACAAGGTAATATTCTTCAGATCCATGGACTACAACACACATTTCGAGACACTCTAGAAGTATTTTTTTTTTGATATGTTTAAACGCTTTCAAATGTTCTTTTCTCAATTTAAATTTTGTCTTATTGTTAATAGTGGAACTAGTTTGGATATTCATTCTGAAAAACCCTTAATATAATTTCTGTAATAACTAGCAGATTCTAAGGATAACTTTTCCTACTTTTTTACATTGCATCTCTCTGCTTAGTTAATAAAAGGCTTTATTAATCTTTTTGGAAAATAAAAGGACTAGTTAAATGAAGAATACGAGGTTGGTCATACACACACAAAAAAAAAAAAGATTTTTCTTTTTTGGGGAACGAAATATGATCTGAATGAATTTTGTAAGAGAAAATTTTATACATATAACAATAAAATTTTCATGTAATTAATATTTATATAATTTTTTGTATTGTCAATAATTGTTTATGTTTGTTAATTCAACAGAAATATATATTAATTGCTGAATGTAACTCATAACAAATAAACAAGTAATATACATTTAATTAATAATCAATTTTCAAAAAGGATTTAAATTTTTAATAAAAATAAGGATTTTTATTAAAGTAAATAAATGCCTATTGAAATTAAAGAACGCTGAATGAAGTAGATTACATAATTAAGGATCACTCGTTCAAAATATTTAAAAATATATATAAATACATCAAAACCGTAGAGGCAACTCTACATGCTCTTTATTAATTTGTTTGTTCAGTACTCTAGCAAAGTCGCCGAACACCCAGTTAATAAAACACTGTATGAAGAATACATAGTTGGTCATGCACACGCAAATAAAAAAAAAAAAAATATATATTATAAATTTTTTTTTATTTTTCTTTTTATAAATTAAAAGATATAAAAAAAATGGGAGAAATATTTGTCAAAAAAATTAATTCGAAAAAGATTTGTTACCAATAAGAATGAGATATTAAACATACAAAATATATTTACATAAAATAGAATTTAATTTACATAGTATTTATATTTTTAATTTGTGAGAGAAATTTTTATACATATATTGATAAAATTTTTACATAATTAATATTCTTATAATTAATTTGTATTTTTACTAATTGTTTATATTTGTTAGTTAAACAGTAATATATTTAAATTGCTGAACATAAATCATAACAAAGAAATAAGTAATATACATTTAATTAATTATTAGTGTTCAATAAGGATATAAATTTTTAATAAAAATATGGATTTTTATTAAAGTAAATAAATGCCTATTGAAATTAAAGTATGCTGAATCAATTAGATCACATAATTAAGGATCACTTGTTCAAAATATTTAAAAATATATATAAATACATCAAAAATTGTAGAGCCAACTCTACATGCTCTTTATTAATATGTTTGTTCAATACTCTAGCAAAGTCACCGAAAACCCAGGTAATAAATCAATAGTACACAAAAGTAAATTAAATAAAATTAAAATTGTTTCCTTTAAAATAAATAATCTTCAAAATAAGTACTAAATATATACCGATAACAAGAATTTAGTTAATCTATACGCAACAAATAAAATTAAAAAAAAATTTGATCAAACAAACTTCTAATAAATATAAACTTAATAAGTTTATAACTAATGAACATAACTTTCATCCCTTTTCTAATAAATTGCATATTCAAAATAAATTTTCTAAAATTCAACAATAAAATTTTTATTAAATTTATACTACTATATCATAATATTCATATAATAAACTTATCTGTTATCTTCTCTTTTTTTTTAATATACTTATTAAATGCTTAATCATAATGTAAACTTAATAATATAAATAAATAAAAATAAAAAAAAATTACAAAAAATGCTAAATAATTAATGAATTTTTTATAATTAAAATTTATAAATATAATCACAAATATTCATAAAAAAATGTATTTTACTTATAATACTCTTATAAAAAAAATAATCAATCCTCATAAAAACCATGCAAAATTCTAATAAATATAAAATGCATTTACTTTTCTCACGGATTTTTTTAGTACATAATTTATTATAATCTACCTTGTAAAAAAGCAAATATAAAAAAATAAAATTTAATAAGATAATAAATTTTATTTTATTTTATTTTATTTTTTTTTTTTTTTTCAATATAAATAATATCTACTTTCTAAGAAATTCTTATTTTTAAATTATTGTTATTTTCATTTTCTAAAAATATTATGAGAAATAATTTTAAAGAGAATAACCAAAAGATAATTTATATTTCTTTGTATTCATATAAAAAATTCTAAAAAAATAAATAAATATTTTCTCAAATAATGTTAAATATATATATATATATAATACCAAATAAAAATTATAAAAAAAATAAAAAGTTTAATATAGTTATAACGAAAAAAAAAGTGCATTATTCGTTAAACTAATTTTTTTTTTTAATACATATGTTTCTTCATAAATAAAACTAACTTATAACGCACTAATTTGTCACCAAAAATTTAAATATTAAAATAAAAAAAATAGTAATAAGTTTAATCTGACCTTAAAATGTAATAATTCAACAACAAATAATATAGCTTTTTGTAATTGTAAATACTTCTATTAACTTAAAATAATTTATGTTAAATATATATGAAAAGCTAAAATAGTATATTATAATTACCACTTTTAGAATTTGCATATATATCTATATATATATATTTTTTCTTTTTTATATATGTTATATTTTATAAAAATATTAGATCCTTCATAATAATAAAAATTATAAATTGTTCAGATCATTATATTGTTTGAATATAAAATATATTTTAATCTTCATTTTTTTAAATTTCAACTTTACAAAAAATCTGCTGTAAAAACGTTATATAATTATCAAATTCTTTATTCAAAACGCAAAAAATAAATAATCATATTATTATTTCAAACTCATATTTATAATCATATAATTATATAAAAAATTTAAGGGAACACAAAAAAAATCCTTAAATATTTTCTTTTTTTCATACTAATTTTTTTTTTTTAATTATAAATTCAAATATAAAATAATATTTTACTTTATCTATTTTTTTCTTTTTTTTTTTCTTAATTTTAATTTTATAAATTAAATTTTTATTTTATTTATTATGCTTTTTCATGTTTTTTAAAACTAAAGTTATTATTATTACATGAAAATAATAATTTGATACTCCAAACAAAAATCAAGCAAAAAATTCCTTTTACTCCGAATTAATTATTTATATTACGTAAAATGACAATATTAAATATTAATAAATTTATGATATAGTTATCACAATACAAACATTATCATTTCTCTACAGAAATTATAACAATATCCTAACATAATTCAAGTGTATAATGATGTCACAAAATAACAAAAATAGCTATATTCAATATTTTACTCAATTTAAATTATTTTTCTTCTTTAATTGGATTAATGAATGTTTTTTTAATGTATGATAAAACCATAATATATACATATATGCGTATTACCCTTTTCTTATCTTGAAATTTTTATATTTATTTATAATTTATATAAAAATTTGTTCCTTTTAATAAATAATTTTTTAGATATTATTACAAAATATTTTGAGGAAACCTTGTGGCGATATCATAATCGTGAGAAAATTGTCAGCCTTAAGGAAGATAAGATTTTTATCACAAACAGATGAAACTTCCTGTATATTAGATCAACAAAATGGTAAGGTAAAAGAAAATCAAGGTAATTCACCTAATGAGATAGTTAAACTTAATAATGAAATTCAAGTATTTATGAATGATACTTATAATGAAGTTAATTTTTATCTCGAAAACCAAGAAATTAATAATTCTACAGAAAAATGTGAAAAGTCATCCAAATATATATATTGGAAAGGAATGGACTACGTTAATTTAATATTAAATAAAGAAAAAAATTATAATATCTCAAATCTTGTTGACTGCTGGAATGATAAACAAGAATCTTTTAAAACACATATACTTAAAGAAACAAATTCAACGTGTAATTTTAGAACGTTTGATTATTGTGCTCTTTTGAATAAAAATAATAAATGTTCTAGTCCTTATGAAAATAACAATCTACTAAAAAGCACATCATTAACATATGAACAACTCAAAGATGACAATTATGATAATAATAAAACTTATATCATTGATATAAGGCGTTCTCAATTTTACAATATTACTTATGATATGTTTAATTACTATTTCAAAATGTATGAAAATGATAGGTCTGAACTTAATTGTGGAAAATGGAGTATGTATGTATATAAGAGAGGAAAACAATTTGTTAATATGATGACAAATGAAATTAATTCCGATGAACCTTATGTGCAAAATTATGTTAATGTATGGAATTCTTTTAGTCAAAGTTTGGAACAATATACATTAGATGAGACACAAAATCAATGTAATATGACAGCATTACTTCATAAAATTAATGAGAGAGAAAATTCAGATAATCCGTATGATTTATCATGGATTAAATTAGATAAGAATCAGAAAAAAAAAAATGAAACTTTAGGTCTTAGGACCTCATTACCATATAATATACAATCCACAAATCGAACTACCAATGTTTCAGATGATGCTGCTGCAATGAATTCAATAGATAATAGTACGAGTAATAATAAAATCGCTATAAATACACATATAAATACTACTTTAGAACCATTAATTGTAGAAGATCAAACTATGCATGAAACTATAACTACAATTTCTTCAGATGTTACAACACAACCTAATTTTTTAACTTCAGGTTCTACGCCTAGATATGACTTGCATACAACTGAACCATCAGCTTCAACTTCTTCTATAAGTGGTGATACGTCTTCTGCAAGTAGTAATACATATTCTTCAAAAGATAGCTCTAAACATACAATTAGTGTTGAGCCCCCAACTAGTAGTACAACTTTTTTAACAACTGAGTATCAACTTTCACCTTCTGTAAATATAGTTGAACCTAATGAAAATGATTCTACGTCTCCTCCGGATGATAAAACTACACTCCCTACTATCACCGTTCATCCATTAACTAACAATACTACACCTTTTAAAACTAATATTACAACTACTACAAATGGGTCTTCATCTTCTCCTAAGACAGAATTTCCCTTTACAACAATGTCTTCTATGGATCCAAATTCATCTTCCTCAAATATTTCTACAACTCCTATAACTAAACCTACATTAAATAGCGCAGTAGTATCTACAAATAATTCAATGTCCACTGCAAAAGATAACACTATTCATCCTACTATTAGTAGTAAATCTTCTACATATATTAATAGATTTTCATCTATGTCTGATAGTAATTCTAATAGAACATTATCTACATCTTTAGAATCTATAATTTTCAACACAACTAATAATGTAACTAAATCTCCTATAACAAATAGTGGCATATCATCATTGGGAATAAATAATACTATAACACAGAATCCGCAAAATACATCAAATTCTTTCATACTAGCTAAACAAATTTTACCTTTAAATAATACTCAAAATAGCACATTAGGAAATAATGCAAGTGCCAATCATTCGAATTTCATAGTTCCAAAAAATACCATTAAACCAACCAAATCAGATAATCCCATTAATGATACACCTGAGATTACACCTACAGGAAATGTATTAATAACAATCGTTCCAGTAGGTATATTCATTTTGGGAATTATTTTCCTTTTAATTCTTCTCTGTAAAGTAAGATAAAATTAATAATTAAAAATACAGAAACATATATATTTAAAATCTTTATAACTTTAATAAGAAATTTTTTATAATTGCATAATTTTTAATTTGAATTATAGTACACTTTTATTGGATCTTGGTTTCGCAAGCGTAAATCAAAGAAAAAAAAAATAAGAAAAAAGATGAAGGAAATTTCAAAGGAACCCTTACTAATGTCTTTAAATGATATGGAGAGTGAACCGATATATAGTGGAAAATATTCGTTATTGAACCATGAAAAACAAATGCCTTTATGTGAGATTATTTTAGAAAGTGAAAGAAATTTGAAATATAGACAGATGAAAAAATCAAAGGAATGTGGAGATAAACGCGTATGTGAAGTTGTAGAAGAAGTATCAAAGTACAAAAATGAACTTCCAATAAAAGAGGAAAAATTAAATGAAGATGATTCTAAAAATGAAATTGAAGAAGGTGAATTAAATAAAAATAAATCTAGAAGTAAAATTAGAAAAGAAAAATTGATTAAAAGTGGATTAAAAAAAAATGCGGTTCATATTGTAGGATACATCAGGGAAAATACATTAAATGAAGAAGAAACAAATGAAATAAATGTAAAATCTGAAAAATCTACATATGAAAATGAAATGAAAAATTCAGAAAATAAAACGTCATTCATGGATGAAGCGTGCAACTGGAATACATGGGCAAATATACATATTATAGCATTACTAGAGTGTAAAAAAGAAGAATGGGAATTGATTAAAAATGAATTTTTAAGAATTTGCATAGAAGAGTTTGAAAAAGATGAAGAAACTACTTATCTAAAAGAATTGGGAAATAATTTAGTAAAGAAAGGAGAAGAAGAAAGTAGTACAGTTGTAACAGAAAAAAATAGTAGTATTCCAGAGAAATGGAAAAAAGAAGAATGGTTTATTAATTTGAAAGAGGAATGGAAGAAAGAAGAAGAAAAACATTTAGAATATTTAAAAGAACAAGAAATTGAGAAAATAACAGTAGAAGGAATAAGAAGTATAGTGTTAGACAAAAAAAAAGAAGCATGGAAGAAGTGGATAGAAAAGCAAAGAGAGCGTTCGAATGAGTATAAAAAGCAGGATTGGTTTAAAAAGATATTAGATGAATATGAAAAAGAAGGAATTCATAAAAATATAAAGGAAGAAAGAACTGAATATAAAAGTGTAAAAAAACGAGAGAAACAAAAAGATAATAAAATAAATAAATATGAAACGAAGAAAATTTTGACACAAAAAATGCTAATAGATATACATATGATGCTGTTAGAAGAATGTAAAAAGGAAGAATTAGAAAAAGAAAAAAATGAATTTTTTAAAACAAACATAGAAGAGTTAGGAATACGAGAATATTTAGATGAAGTAAATATATTAGAAAAAATAGAAGAAGAAAGAAGTTGGAATTCTATATTAGAGAAAAAAAAAGATGAAATGGAAAAATGGAAAAGAGAAAAATGGTTTATAGAGTTAATGTTAGAATGGAAAAATAATGAACAGAAATATGTAGAAGAATTAAATAAAAAAATGTTGGAAAAAAAAGATGAAGAAATAACAACAAACATTGCATTAGAAAGGCAAAAAATTATATGGAAAAAACATTGGGATGATATTCGTAAAAAGTGGATAGAAAATGATAACAGAGAAGAATGGTTTACAAAATTGGTTGATGAAGTTGAAAGTAAAGAGAATGAATATAGAAGTGAAATTACTAAAAAGAATATAGAAATGAAAAAGGAAAATGAAAAAAATAGAGAAAAAGGTGAATCAATAATAGAGATTAATAGAAAAGTAAAAGAAGTGAAAAAATATGAAAAGACTCATCTAGAAGATACAGATGAAAGGATTAATTCCATAATGATGAAAAAAAAATTAATGTGGAAGACTATAGTAGAAATACATATGATTGTATTAGAGGAATGTAAAAAAGAGGAGTGGATGTTGAATAGAGGAAAATTTTTAGAAGCCTGCTTAGAAGAATTTAAAAAAGAAGAAAAAGAGAAATATACAAAAAAAATAGAAAATGATTTAGAACTAATGGGAGAAGAAGAAGAAAACATTAGTACAATAATGTTAGAGAAACAAAAACTCCTTTGGAACAAATGGGTAGAAAGAAATAAAAGTATGTTAGAGAAATGGAAAAGAGAAGAATGGTTTATTAATTTAAAAAAAGAATGGGAAAATGAACAAAAAAGTTACGGAGAAACAATAAATGAATCAGAAATAATAGAGATTAATGTTGGGGAAAATCCTATGTTAGAAAAACAAAAAAAAATATGGAAACAATGGCTAAAAAAACAAAGAAAATGGTTTATAGAGCATAGTAAAGATAAATGGTTTAATGATTTGTTAGATGAATATGAAAATGAGGAAGAATATAAAAATGAATTAACAAAAAGAAATGTGAAGAAAAAAAACAAATTTCATAAAAATATAGAGAAATCAGAACAGGATATAAATTATGGAGTAGAAAAAGCTAGAAAAAGGAAAAAGTTGATACATAAAGTGTTGATAGAAATACATATGAAGGTATTAGAGGAATGTAAAAAGGAAGAATTAGAAAAAGAAAAAAATGAATTTTTTAAAACAAACATAGAAGAGTTAGGAATACGAGAACATTTAGATGAAGTAAATATATTAGAAAAAATAGAAGAAGAAAGAAGTTGGAATTCTATATTAGAAAAAAAAAAAGATGAAATGGAAAAATGGAAAAGAGAAAAATGGTTTATAGAGTTAATGTTAGAATGGAAAAATAATGAACAGAAATATGTAGAAGAATTAAATAAAAAAATGTTGGAAAAAAAAGATGAAGAAATAACAACAAATATCGCATTAGAAAGGCAAAAAATTATATGGAAAAAACACTGGGATGATATTCATAAAAAATGGATAGAAAATGATAACAAAGAAGAATGGCTTACAAACTTAGTTGATGAAATTGAAAGTAAAGAGAATGAATATAAAAGTGAAATTACTAAAAGAAGTATAGAAAAGAAAAAGGAAAATGGAGAAGATAGAGAAAAATTTGATTCAATAATAGAGATTAATAATAAAAGAAAAGAAAAAGTAAGAAAATACGAAGAGATCCATCTAGATGATGCTGATAAAAAGATTAATTCTATAATAATGAAAAAAAAATTAAAGTGGAAAACCATGATAGAAATACATATGATTGTGTTGGAGGAATGTAAAAAAGAGGAGTGGATGTTGAATAGGGGAAAATTTTTAGAAACCTGTTTAGATGAATTTAAAAAAGAAGAAAAAGAGAAATATACAAAAAAAATAGAAAATGATTTAGAACTAATGGGAGAAGAAGAAGAAAACATTAGTACAATAATGTTAGAGAAACAAAAACTCCTTTGGAACAAATGGGTAGAAAGAAATAAAAGTATGTTAGAGAAATGGAAAAGAGAAGAATGGTTTATCAATTTGAAAAAAGAATGGGAAAATGAACAAAATAATTACGGAGAAACAATGAAGGAATCAGAAATAATAGAGATTAATGTAGGAGGAAATCCTATGTTAGAAAAACAAAAAAAAATATGGAAACAATGGCTAAAAAAACAAAGAATATGGTTTATAGAGCATAGTAAAGATAAATGGTTTAATGATTTATTAGATGAATATGAAAATGAGGAAAAATATAAAAATGAATTAACTAAAAGAAATGTGAAGAAAATAAACAAATTTCATAAAAATATAGAGAAATCAGAACAAGATATAAATAATGGAGTGGAAAAAGCTAGAAAAAGGAAAAAGTTGATACATAAAGTGTTGATAGAAATACATATGAAGGTATTAGAGGAATGTAAGCAGGAAGAATGGAAAAAAGAAAAAGAAGATTTTTTTAAAACTATTATGAAAGAGTTAAGAATACGAGATAATTTAGATGAAGAAGTAAACCTATTAGAAAAAATAGAAGAAGAAAGAAGTTGGAATTCTATATTAGAGAAAAAAAAAGATGAAATAGAAAAATGGAAAAGAGAAAAATGGTTTATGGAGTTAATGTTAGAAATGAAAAATAATGAAAATAAATATATGGAGGAAATAAATGAAGAAATACTAGTAAAACATAACAAGGGTGGAATTGAAAATCCTATGTTAGAAAGGCAAAAAATTATATGGAAAAAACATTGGGAAAATATTCTTAAAAAGTGGATAGAAAAAGATAATTATGAATGATTTGAAACATTAATTTATTAATAACAGAATAGAGATAGGGAATAAAAATGTTAAATTTATAAATAGAGCATAAAAGAGGAAAATAGATATGAATAACTCGAAAAATATGTGAATAAAAAAAATTCTAGAAATGATCAATAAATAGAATTATTTATCTTTTTGAATATTAATTATGAATTAAATTTATATATTTTCATATGTTTCGTTATTTATTTATTAAATGCTAGTTCGAAGATTTGGTTAGAATTATTGAACTATTAATTTTCTGTTTAATAACTACCTAATATTAAATAAACAAATTAAAGAAAATCATGTAAGAATATCAACGCTTACTTTATTTAGAATAAAATAAATTATTACATACATCATTTATTTTTATTATTATTAAATTTTAACTTTATTATTTAAGTTAATTAATACGATAGAAAATAAATGTAATATTTAATGTTACATTTTTTAATCTTCCATACAAGAAAAAATAATACACATCACATCACGAATAAAAAAAAATTATTATTTTTATTTTTAATATGAGGTTTTTCCTACTATTTAAAAAAAAAAAAATAAAATTCTCACCATTTTTTTTTTTATTAAAATTTCATAAATTGTCAAAGTCATAAACCCAAAAAAAAAATAAAATATTTCTTTTCATAATGATAAATATGAACAAAAAAAAAAAAAATAAATATAATATATCTGTTTTTTTTTTTTTTTCAAGTGTAGTGACTTCTTAATTCCCATTTCAATGGAATTATGATTTATTAATTAGATATTCGAAGATTTATATAGCGCTTTAAATGGTCAAATTAACAAAAAGCATGCAAAACGATATTTACTTTTTCTTTTTATTATAAAATTAGTTTATGAGTATAATTATATACTTATTATACAAATATTAATTTGTAATAAATATAAAATACTTATTATAAAGTTCATAATTTTTAGCATTCTTAATATTTTTTAGATAAAACTACTTAAAATTGTAACGTTTACTCATTTCTCAAAAAAAAAAATTAAAAAAAAATTAATTTTTTTAAAAAATAAAAATGCATACGTAATATTTTACTATAAATTTATTACTAATATCACTCATATTAAACAAATATGCTTCTATATCTAAGATCGTATGCATTTAACCTCAAACTATTTTGTATTTTCTCATTATACATGCAAAAATTATTATAAGTTTTTTCATATGTATATCTCTGCACATGCCTTTTAATTATTTTACATGTGTCAGCAATACTCTTAAGTAAACCTCTGTTATTTTATAAGTTATTAAAAAAATCAATAAATTCATTTATTTATCACATTCCATGTATTGAGCAAAAAAATTAACAAAGAGAATATAAAAAGTACTTTATTCATTTTATTTTAGTTAAAATAAATACTCTATGTGTATCATATTTAGTATAACATTTTTAATATTTCATAAAAAAAAATAATACTCCACGTTGTTATAATCACAATTAAAAAAAAAATTATATAATAATGTAGAATATTTTTTTTTTTTTTTAAATTGGTTACACATGCAAAAAAAAAGATAATATAAAATATATCTTCATTTTTTTTTTTGTATACTTACTTTTAGAGAGAGCATTTTTTTTTAATGTACATACTTTTTGTGTGCTTGTTTTTTTAATTTATACATTTGTAAGTGAATATTTTCCCTGTTTTTTGTCGTGCACAAATAAAAATGTTTTTACTCATTTTATTTATTTAAATATTATTCAATGTAAATTGGTTATATTCTTTTTAGAACAACCACTATAAGAAAAATAGTTGCGCTATTTAATTTTATTTTCTTTGACTTATTTTATAATCTCGAGCTTTTTTTTCATATCTTTATTTTACAGTATCCATTATTTACAATTCAACTCATATATTATTGTAACATTTCTTTTATAAAAATCAGAATAGTTTTCTGGTTTTAGTTCACGTATAAGTTCACACTTTTTATTGCTCTTTTTAGTAATTTCTACTAAAATATTGGCTAATAAAAGGAATCATTAACCTTTTTTGAGAGTAAAAATTACTAGCTGTGAGGAAAATACATAGTTAGCCACTCAAACGCTAAATAAAAAAAAAAATTATTTGTTAATTTTTTTTGTTTTCTTTTTATAAAGGACATACGTAAAGAAATATATTTATTTTTTTCTAATAAAAGATTTAATGATCGGAAAAATTATCTTCGAAAAAAATAATTTATTGACGACTGAGTTTCTTTGTAGTGAATTTTTATTTTGAATTTTTTTTTTCAGAAAATTTTATATATATAATAATAAAATTTTTATGTTTGTAATGTTTATATAATTTAATTTGTATTTTATTAATTATATTTGTTAATTTGTAAGCAGAAGACTTGATAAGCTTGACATTATTCATAATATTATAAGTAAAGATATATTTCATTAAAATCATTGTTCAATGAAAATTTAAATTTTTAATAAAAATATATATTTTCATTAAATAAATATCTCTGGGAAGTAATGTATTATCAATGATGTAGACTACATAAATGCATATTACTTGTTTTATAGTATTTAAAATTATATATAAATTCATTAATTTCATAGAGGTAAATTTACATACTAATTATTAATATGTTTGTTTAGTACTCTAACAAAGTCTCCTAACAAGCATTTAATAAATCACTTCTATAAGAGAAAAACAACGCACATGTTTATCCCCTAAGAAAAAAAAATTTTTTTTTAAGGCGTTATTTTTTTTTTTAAAAAAAAATAAAAAAACAGTAAAATATTTATCATGAAACTTTTTTTTTAAGTCATCAATATATACGAAAAAAAAATATAAAATATATCTATATTATTTTTTCAGTTCACATATTTTTTGTATACTCATTTTTTTTAGTATGAATTTTTATTTGTGAACATGTATCCTCCTGGTTAAGGTATTATTAACCCTTTTGAGAATAAAATGTAATAGTTGTATGGAAAATAAATAGCCTTACAAGTACTACATAAAAAAAAAAAAATTAGCTGTTAATTTTTTTTTGTTTCTTTTTATAAATTTTAAAATTACTAAAATGTATTTTTTTTCTTTAATAATCATTTAATTATCGAAATATTATAAAGAAAAGTTGACTAAAAAGTTTCTTGTAGTATGTGTTGTTTAAATTTATATAAGAATTTTTTCTATTAGAGATAATAAAATTTTCACATTTTGTAATATTTATATAATTTATTTTGTATTCTGTTAATTATTTATGTTTGTTAATTTTAAAGTAATGGATTTGAATTACTAAACATTACTCATAATATTATAAAAAAAAATATATGTAATTAAAATAAATAATTAATGAGTATTTAAATTTTTAATAGAAATATAGGGTTTTTATTAAAGTAAATAAATGACTCTTAAAAACAATAATCGCTTAATAAAGTAAATTATTTAAATAACATTTTACACAATTATAACATTAAAATCATATTTAAATTTATTAAATTAATAGAGGCAATTTTATATACTCTTTATTAATCTGTTTGTCCAATGCTTCATCAAAGTCATTGCATGGAAAGTTAATAAATCAACATGCAAGATAATTGATAAACATATACGGAGATGTACATAAAGACATGTGCACTAGTACTTCAGATACTCAGGAAAAACACAAAATGTTTTACCAAAAATTTATGTCTTTCGAAATTGGCTAATAAAAAGAATCATTAACCTTTTTTGATAATATACATAACTAGCTATATGGAAAATATGTATTTATCCAGGAAGCCTTTGCATAAATAAAAATAAAAATTTTTTTAATTTTTTTTGTTTTATTAATACAAAAGATATACGTAATATAATATGTCTATTTGTTTAAGAAAAGATTTAATGACCAAGAAAAAATAATGCTCCAAAAAGATAAGAAATAATTTGTTGACAAGTTGTTTCTTTGCGGTATATCTATCAATTACCTGTTCAATGACTTTGCTAGAGCACTAAACAAACATATTAACATAAAGCATGTAAAATTATTTCTACTAATTTAATGAATTTATTTATAATTTTTAATGATATAAAATATGCAAACTGTATTTATGTAGTCTCCATCGTTAAGCCTTCCTTATTTTCAAAATATATTTATTTACTTTTATAAAAATCTCTATTTTTATGAAATAATTTAAATCTTCACTGAATAATGATTTTAATAAAATATATTTTTATTAACAATGTTATGAATAATGTTCAGCAACTTAAGTTCACTGCTTCCATGTTAACAAGTATAATTGATGAAATACAATTTAAATTATATAAATATTACAAAAGAGAAAATTTCATTATTATGTTTATAAAATTTTCTCTTAAAAAAAACTATAAAAATTCTTTTGCAAGGTAAGTCGTCAACAAATTACTTATTTTTTTCGAAGATAATTTTTCCCACCATAAAATTTTTTTTTTTAGAAAAAAATAAATATACTTCTTTATGTATATACTTTATAAAAGGAAAATAAAGAAAATTAACAAATAATTTTTTTTTATTCATTTAGCACTTGCACTACTAACTAGATATTTCCCTCAATGCTAATTATTTTTATTCTAAAAAAAGGATAATATATCTTTTTATTGGCCAGTAAGGAACTTTTATTTTGAATTACTTTTTTAAAGAGAAAATTTTATATACATAATAATAAAATTTTCATTTTTTGTAATGTTTATATAATTTAATTTTTATTTCATTATGTTTGTTAAATTCGAAACAGCATACCTGAGTTTTTCTTGACATTATTTATAATATTGTAAGAAGAAATATATTTTATTAAAATTAATATTAATGTGAATTTAAATTTTTCAATAAAATGGAGATTTTTATTAAAGCATATAAATGCTTCTTAAAAATAAGGAATGCTCAACCAAATAATCCATATAAATACATTTTACTTGTTTTATAGCATTTAAAATTATACGTAAATTTATTAAATTAATACAGATAACTCTACATTATTTTTGCTAATATGTTTGTTTAGTACTTGGTTAATAAAAGGCTTCATTAACCTTTTTGCTAATGAAAAGGACTAACTATATGAAGAATATGTAGTTGGTAACGCACACGCAAAAAAAAAAAAAAAAAATTATTGAATTTTTTTATTTTTCTTTTAATAAAATGAGATACGTAAAAAAAATATATTTATTTTTTTTTTAAAAGATTTTAATTGAGGAGAAGAAAAAGATTGGTAAAATAAAAATCGGAAGTAAGATTTAGTACCAATAAAAATGAAATCTTAAACAGATAAAAATATTTACATATAAAAGAGTTTAATTTGCATAATATTTATATTTTTAATTTGTGAGAGAAAATTTTATATATATGATAATAAAATTTTCACGTAATTAATATTTATATAATTTATTTGTTTTTGTCAAAAATTGTTTATGTTTGTTAATTCAACAGCAATATATTTAAATTGCTGAACGTAACTCATAACAAAGAAACAAGTAATTTACATTTAATTAATAATCAACATTCAATAAAGATTTAAAATTTTAATAAAAATAAAGATTTTTATTAAAGTAAATAAATGCCTATTGAAATCAAAAAATGCTAAATGAAGTAGATTACGTAATTAAGGATTACTCATTCAAAACATTTAAAAATATATATAAATACATCAAAATAGTAGAGGCAACTCTACATGCTCTTTATTAATTTGTTTGTTCAGTACTTTGTTAATAAAAGGCTTCATTAACCTTTTTGGAAAATAAAAGGACTAGTTAAATGAAGTATACGAAGTTGATCATGCATACACACACAAAAAACAAAAAAAATTGATGATTTTTTTTTTTGTTTGTACTTTTTAAAAAAAAGTACAAAGACTGTCAGGAAAAAAAAATTTGAAAAAAAAAAAATGTAAAAATAGTCAGGAAAAAAATTGATTAAAAAATCAATTTTTTAAAATGTTTGTTACTAATAAATAAATAAAAAAAAAAAAAAAAAAAAAAAAAAATTTTTTTTTTAGGGAAGGAAATGAAATAATTTTTGGTGATGAATTTTGTAAAAGAAAATTTTATACATATAACAATTAAATTTTCATGTAATTAATATTTATATAATTTATTTGTTTTTGTCAATAATTGTTTATGTTTGTTAATTCAACAGAAATATAATTAATTGCTGAATGTAACTCATAACAAATAAACTAGTTATTTATAATTAATAATTAATCTTCAATAAGTATTTGAATTTTTAATAAAAATAAGGATTTTTATTAAAGTAAATAAATACTTACTGAAATAAAAGAATGCTGAACGAAGTATATTATAATTAAAGATCGCTCGTTCAAAGCAAATAAAAATATACATAAATATACAAAAATAGTAGAGACACCTCTACATGCTCTTTATTAATTGGTTTGTTCAGTACTATAGTAAAGTCCCCGAACACCCAGTTAATAAATCAGTACTCTAGCAAAGTCATCGAAAACTCAGTTAATAAATCAGTACTCTAACATAGTCACCGAAGAGGAAGTTAATAAACCAGAAATGCAATAAATATTTTAATTATAATAATAATAAAAAAAAATATAAAAAAGCTTATGCTTTTTTTATATAGTTTTTCACAAAAATTGTAGAGAATAATGATTAAAACTATGAAATGTAATGCAGATATGTTTATTTCACTATGAATTGATATGTACGTAAAAGTTATATGATTTTCCTAGTGTTTTCTATAAAAAACATTGGTTTTTTGAGAATAATAATAGATGAATAGAAAATATAGAATTAGCCATGCGCAATCCTTAATTAAAAAGAAAAAAAATATTATATTATTAATTTTTTTTCATAAGATATTTTCATCCTTTTAAATATTATTTTTTTTTTTTTTTAATATTTAATGAAAAGCTTCAAATATTTTTTAGAGAAAATATTATATTTTCAATATAAAATATCTGTTGATAATAATACACTTTGTATTTATACTTTGATAATTATTTTTTCCTGTTAAAAGGAAATGACTTGAGCATATGTTATTCATAACATTATAATTAAAATATTTTTACTCAAAAATAGATAATGGAGACTTATGTTTTTAATAAAAATACAGTTGTTTTTATTAAAGTAAATAATTACTTCTTAAAAATAATAAATTCCCAATGAAGTAAACTATAAAAATATACTTTACTGATTTATAGAATTAATTTAATGTATAAATGAAATTAGTAGAGGTAACTCTATATGCTTTTTATTAATTTATTGATTCAGTATTCTAGTAAAGTTTTCTAACAATTATCAATAATATAATATACATATAAAAAAAAAAAAATAAATAAATTTTCATTTATCATTCTAAAAGAAAAAAGAAATCTTCATTTAAATGAAGACTCACTTCTTTTATATGAGATATATAATAAGGTGATGTTATAAAGTTAAATAAAAACTAAGATGAATTACTTAAAATAAATTTTACATTTTTAAATTACATAACTACATTAAATGTACAAAAATATTTTTAAGATTTAATTTTTTCATGTATTATGTAAGTAGATTTATTTCCACATGCACTTTATTAATTGAACTACTTTAAATACAACAGACATGAAAAAAAAGGTTAACTAATAAATCATTTATCTAAAATAGATTGTAATGATTATTAAATTGCAAAACATATTTTAATATCATTTGATAAATTTTTTCATAAATTGAATATTATTTGAAAAATAAAAAATTATTCATAGAAAGTTAATTATGAGGTGGTGGATTATCGTCATCAGGATGTAAAGGAAGGTCTTTCGATGGTATAATATTCAATGCACTCGTAAAGAACATAAACTTACTCAATCTCACTGATATACTATGTAATTTTCGTTCGGACAAATCAATCTTCGCAGCTTCTGCTTCTTTAATAACATATGATTTTATTAAAGTTAAATTACTCATTAATAGTCTTCTTTCTAAATCACCTTTATTTGGTAACACTTCCTTAAAATACTTTAAAATTACATCTTTCTCTATCCAAAAAGCTTTAATAATTTTTGCGCAATATGTTTCAGTTAGTGGTTCATCATAACAATAGTCACTAAGGCGATCAGCTACTCTATATGCCACATCGTCATGTAAAAATGACTTATATCTTGTATGTTCATGTTTCTCAGTTTCAACAATTTCTTCAACAATAGCTTTATGATCTTCTATAATTTTTCTTATTTCTTCAGCAGTTTTTCCCTTCTTTACCTTGTCTAAATAACGAACTGTTACCGTTATATCAAATTCTATATCCATTTTAGCCAAAATATAATTTGTATTATCATCTCTCTTAGGGGCTCCCTGTTCTACAAGGTTATTTTCTTGTAATCCAACCATGGTTAAAGTTTCAAATAAAATATATTTATGTATATATGTTATTTATATATTTATATAAAATAAAAAAAAAAAATAAATAAATAAACTTCCTGTGTTCTCACTTTAAGAAATAAATAAACGTAAAATTATAATTTAATAAATTCTAAAATTTATAACGTATATTTGTATATCTATAATGCAAATACCTTATTAAAAAAATTAAATAAATAAATAATGCATAATTATTTATATTACTAAAATAAAATTTATTTTATTAAAAGTTATTTTAATATTTTTTAAAAAAAAAAAAAAATATGATTTGAAAAATGTTTTTTCAGTTAACTTTTTTTTTCAATCTCTATTTATAATAATTATAATTAAAAAAGTTCTAATAATATAAATTTCTAAAATAAGCTCAAATTATGTACACATTTAATTTTATTCTTAATTTGCATGCTGACATACTAAAAACTTTACCTAGAATATATAAATTTTACCTAGCATATCAAAAAACTACTTTTACATTAGTTTTTTAAAAAATAGTTTTAAAAAAATAATTCATTCCATTAATACTATTTTTAATTATATTTGTAAAATTAAAATATTGTAAATTTAAATAAATAATGCAAATTCTATTTCATTTAAATTAAAATACATTCAAATGCTTTGTGGATTTAAAAAGATATTTGTTAGAATAGAGTAAATTAAATAAAAGAATTAAAATATATATTAAAAAATTATATAAAAATTAAAGATGCGTTAATTTTAAATAAATATTAGAATAATAAAATGGATATAATTTCTAATACATAGAATGTAATGTAAAAATTATATATTTAAGAATATTTTTTGTTTTAGTTATTTTTATAGAAACTATTGTTTAATATACATATTTTAAATTTTCTATTTTGTATTTTTATATAGATTTTTTAAAAATACACATAGGTGGTCTATAAATTGCTGATCCATCGAATTTTTTTCATTATAAAGCAAATTAATAGAGAACACCTAGAGAGATTCCTCTATCAAATTAGTGAATTTATGTATGATTTTAAATTCTACAAAACATTAAAATGTATTTATGTAGTCTACTTCAATGATAATTTATTCCTTTTAAAGGGTATTTATTTACTTTTGTAGAAATTTTTTTTTTTTATTGAAAATTTAAATTTTCATTATCAATTTTTAATTAAACTATATTATATATAAAATTATGAATAATAATTAATTATTAAAACTCATTACTTTAAGTTTAACAAAAACAATCAATCCATAAAACTCAAACTCAATTATTGATTTATTAATTACCCATTCAATAGCTTTACTAGTAATGAATTAGCATATTAGAAAGAATATGTAAAAAAAATTTACTTATTTTTATTAAAGTAAAATATTAAAAAAATCATTTATTTTTGGCAATTAATATCAAATGTTGATTACATTAGTAAATTACTATTTTAGTTAATTTATACAAAGTTATTTAAATGTAATTTTTAGCATTATATTTTTAATCTATCATAAAAAATTTTTTTTAGAAATAATAAAACCACTGTCATTATATTCTTTTTGAGCCATTGTTATATGCAAAAAAATGTAATTTTTTTTTTTAATATATAACCGTATGTACACACAAAAAAAAAAATATAATAAAATATATCTATTATATTGTTTTTATTTTTATTTTTTTTTTTTTTTGCATATACTTAATTTTTGTTCAAGTATTTTTTTTTTTTAGTATAAATTCATTTTGTGTACTTACTTTTTTTTAGAGTATTCATTTATGTGTGTGTATTGTCTTTACATATTAGTATGCACGAAATATTTTTAGTCATTCTATTCATTAAAATATTATTTAAAATAGATTTATAACATTACTTATATACTAATTAAAGAACAGTTATAAACATGAAATTTTATAATCTTCCAGATAAAATTTTCTATTAAAAATTCAAATAAAAATTAGCTACAAAGATGGTTTTTGTCAACAATTTTCCTCAATCCTCGATCTATAAATATTTTTGAAAAAAATAAATGTATTTCTTTCTTATATATATTTTAAAAAATTATAAATAAAAATAGGATTTTTTCTTTTATTTTAATCTACTGATTTGTTAATTATATGTTCAATGACTTTCTAATAATGAACAAACAAATAAAAAGCATGCGGAGAAAACTCCATTTATTTTTTTTTTAATAAATTAAAATATTAATAAATTGTTCTCTTTAATTAATTAATATCAAATATTAATTTCATCATTTAATTTCTATTGTTTTTAATATATACAATATTTCATTTGTATCACATTTTACATGTTATTTTTAATCTTTCATAAAAAATTATTCTATTGTCCTCAAAAAAAATATATTTTTTTTTTATGATATCATATACTTTTTTCTTAAAAAAAAATAATAATAATAATTCATTATAAAAAAAAAAATTAATAATATTTTTAAGTCAAAGTTACAATAAAAATAATATGTTTTTTTATATAAGTACACAAAAAAAAAATAAAATATAATGAAATATATCTACATCTTTTTGGAGTAATTACTTTTAGAGCGACAATTTTTTTTTTTTAAATGTACTTTTATTGCAAATATTTTTTTTTTTTTAGTAAACATGTTTATGTGAGTATATTTTGTACGAATTTCAAAATTCACACATAAAAATGTCTTATTTTATATAATTAAATGTTATTTAAAATAAGTTGATGACACAATTTATATACCAGATATTTAAATATTATTTTGTTATAATAACTTTTTTTTATCGTATTCAATAGAGTCTTACTATTTAGGAACCATGAAAATTCAAATTAACTTTTTGTAAATCTCATTATATAAAAATCACAAAAAAACTTTTCTTTTCTATGAAAAAAAATACTAAAATCATATTCTCCTTCACTATTTTTTTTGTGTTATATACTTTCAAATGTTCTTTATAATTCTTTAAAAATATTTAATATTAATAGTAATTCCATATTTATTAACTCTCAATATAGAATAATATTAACATTTTTGAACTTTTAATGAGAGGGAATAAAATGTAACTGAAAGTTCAATTAGTGCAAAGTGTTTGTGGAAGTACCAACATTTTAATAAATATTCTCAATTTAATATGTTATAATGCATACATTAAAACATACATAAGTACATAAACAAAGAAAAAAAACAATAAGTATGTAATTTTTTTTCGTATTATATTTTTCTTTTTTTTCTAAAAAATATACTATTTTACTTTGTTTTTTACTATATAATTATTTAAAATAATAATTTTTGTAACAAATATTAAATATAAACTATATAAACATAATAATAAGTTCTTAACAAAAAAAAGATAACTCTAGACATTCATTTAACATATCATTAATTAAAAAATTTCTAAAATAAAATTAAATAATTTATTTATCATATTTTTATAGCATAATTACATAAATAGTACATAATTATTTTTAAATGCCATTATAATAAATAAAAAATGTAGAAATTTCCACATATGCTCGTTCTTAATGTAGCCATCTAAAATTCTATAAAAGTATTTAAAAAGTTAACTAATAAATCAATTAATAAAAAACTTGTTCAATTTACCATGAATCAACTAGAAAATATAAAAAATAATCAAAACAAAAATAATACATATTCTCAACACTAATTACAAATATAATAATTTAATATAAAAATAATAACAAAAGAAAAAATGCAATGATTATAAAAAAGCACCTATCTATAATACGTACAATACTTCTGAAGTTATAATAATACAGAATTCCTTAAATATTAAATAGACATCATAATTAAAATAGAATTTTTCATCATTAATATATACACATTTCCATATATGATTTATTAATTGGGTGTTCGGTAACTTTGCTAGAGTACTAAACAAACAAATTAATAAAGAGCATGTAGAGTTGTCTCTACGGTTTTGATGTATATATATATATATATATTTAAATGCTTTGAATGAATGATCCTTAATTACATAATCTACTTCATTCAGCATTCTTTAATTTCAGTAGCATTTATTTACTTTAATAAATAAATCTTTATTTTTATTAAAAATTTAAATCCTTATTGAACATTAATTATTAATTAATTGTAAATCACTATTTTATATATTATGAGTTACATACAGCAATTAATATATATTGCTGCTGAATTAACAAACATAAACAATTATGTACAAATATAAAAATATTATACAAATATTAATTACATGAAAATTTTATTGTTATATGTATAAAATTTTCTTTTACAAAATTCATCACCAAAAATTATTTCATTTCCTTCCCTAAAAAAAAAATTTTTTTTTTTTTTTTTTTTTTTTTTATTTATTTATTAGTAACAAACATTTTAAAAAATTGATTTTTTAATCAATTTTTTTCCTGACTATCTTTGCATTTTTTTTTTTATCAAAAATTTTTTCCTAACAATCTTTGTACTATTTTTTAAAAAAAAGTACAGACAAAAAAAAATCATCAATTGTTTTTTTTTGTGTGTGCGTGTATTACCAACTTCGTATTCTTCATTTAACTAGTCCTTTTATTTTCCAAAAAGGTTAATGAAGTCTTTTATTAACCAATATAATAACGTCTAAATATTTTTAAGAATAAAAAAATAAAATCATAAAAGTAAAAAAACATTCCCTTCTTTCATAAACATAGAAAATATATATAAAATTTAGATATAATATAAAAAAAAATAACTATTCCATTTAATCATTTCTAAACAAAAATAAAAAACGAATATATTTTTTTGCTAAGGTTTGTCGAAAAAATATTATTCTTAGAAAATTTTTCATTATTGTTTAATAGCAAATTATAACACATAATTAAATGTTATGATAGTGACATATTTAACTTTTTACTTTTCAATTTTCACATATTAAATAATTTACTTTTATTTCTATTTTTTTCCACTGTTTTAGAAGCTAGTTTAATTGATTCTCCTTTTTTCATGCTATTATGTTTTTTTTAATAATACTTTGCATGAATTATAATTATACAATTTATATTCGATAA